GAAGCCTTCAAATATGCTCAGGAAAATGGACTTGATGTGGTCACCATCTGCCCAAGTATATGCATTGGTCCTCTACTGCAACCAACAGTGAATACAAGCAGCTTGTTTCTCATCAACATTCTGAACGGTCCGCTTATTCTATTATAAGAATCTTATAAAAGCTCAAACTTTTTATCTTCTTATTGATAACAATGAAAAGTTGCATCAAAAACTTTCAGGAACCAGTGAGTACATAGAGAAAATTCATAACTGGCATTTTGTAGATGTTAGAGATGTCACTGATGCAGCACTTCTGATATTTGAGAAGGAGGCATCCGGACGATATATTTGCACGCTTGACCCGATCTATATCGTTGACCTCCTCAACTTGTTGAAGAAAATATGTCCTGGTTTCAAACACTTTAAGAAGTAAGATTCCCACAATCATGGAAAAAATTTGCGTACATAAGACGTACGCACAGTTGTGTACGTATGCAACTTGCAAACAGATTACATGGAGCATTTTGGGAGGTTATAACAGCGCTATAGCCCATGTAACCTCCCTGTAACTTACTTGTACCTTCTAGTAAATTTTGCGCTTCTGTTTTCATTTATAGGTAGGTTACAGGGAGGTTACAAGGGGTATAATGCCGTTATAACCTCCCAGAATCCTCACTGTAACATGTTTGCATGTTACAGACGTACGCAGCTCTACGTACGTCTTATGTACACAATTTTTTTCCCACAATCATATGTATCCTTTCTATTTTATCATTTGTTATTAATCTGAAGTCTTATTATTATTTGACAGTAACTTTAAGCCGGGCGTACTGTTAAATGCGAGTTCAGAGAAATTGAAGAAGATTGGATGGAATTGCAGGCCACTAAGTGATTCCATTTCTGTTTCGGTTCAATACTATGAAGAAACTGGTATTTTAAGCCTGGAATAGAAGAACATGGAATGTTGAATTTGCTTAAGATCCAAGTGTACGAATAAAGTTGAGAAACTCTCAATGTCTAATGAATTTCTTCAGTTAGTCTTACAGGAGTTTCATGAAATTCATGTTGTGTGTAGCTTTCTTTCTTCGATTAATAACTTGCATGGCTACTTGGCAAATTTTTTGCTCTGTTTTCTTCTTCCTTATATCAATACTCATCAAAATATTGAACCATATTATTAAAAATAAATGCAACATTATAGAAAATTAGCTTGAGAAGGTTTTTCCTTTTCTCCATTTTTATGGCCAAGCTGCCTTCGTCTCTCGCAATTTATTGTTAAGCTATGTTTGTAAAGCTTTTAAAGGCTTTAACTTAACCAAGTTTGTGTGCGAAGATTATGAAGCATGTTGTAACTCTTGAAGTTTCTTAGGTTGATTAGTAGCTGTAATTGAAGTTGACCGTTGCTTAGGAGGAGGAAATAACTAGGTGACAGTCAATTACAACTATTAATCTACCTAAGAAACTTCAAGAGTTACATTTTGTATCTACCTTTTGTTTTTGTTTTTTTTTTATGTTTTGATTAGAAATAAAATATGTTTGGCATCTTAAACACATGCTTATTTTTTATTGAATATTGAATAAATTATTTTATATGATAATGATACCAATTGTTAAGATGGTTATTGCGATGATGGTGGTGGTAGTTGTTGCGGTATGGTTAAAGGTAGTGGGCAAAAATGGCTCGAGATAGGTTTTGGCTGCTGGAAGTGGCAATGATTGATGGTGATGATATTTATTTTTATAAATGCTTCAAAAAATAAATGGTTTTTTATTATTTTTAAAAGTTAGATACTTTGTTCTTTATAGAAATTAATTAATCATATTTTTAATATATAACATAAAAAGTCAAAAACACAAATTAATCCCAAGTTTGGTCTTTTTTCCTATATTTATATTGAATAATGATTTGTTCATGAATTCACCCTACAAAGAAAAAAAAGACTAGAAAGGAGAGAGAAACTAAGAAAAAATTGGTGTTTTGAATATTTTGGGAACGAATCCCCCCAACTTTATGGTGGCTACAACCAACTAAAAATGGGATGACTTGAGATATGTTGCATGCAAAATGCAATCAAATCAATCTAGAAGGAATGTGTGAATATTAAGAGATATATTATTTACCTCTGTCCTTTTAAGGATAAGCCATATGTGTTAGCCATCATATGCCCATTTTGATGTCTTTTCTTGCCCTACATGTTTTTATAATATCTTCCATGTAATGCCTCTCATTTTTTAATTATTCCCTGTATAAACGGTTTATATTCTATTTTCTGTCTTCAAGAAAGTTTTTTTGCCTTATTTGGTTCTAAGGCGAGCTGATGGGGTCACTAGTTGTCTAGCGGAACCTGTCATTGAGTTCGTTGCAGGCACCTGATCGAGTTGGCATTTCGAAGAAATTGGATGAGCTATCTTGTCCGAGTAGCTTTGGTTAATCACCACGGGGCAGTTATCTAGATTCTAGACAGACATTCTAGGCAAACAACCTAGATGGATTAATTATCTAGTTTGTGCTATAGCCATAGCTTAGTCCCGAACGCTTTGTTTATTCATCTTATTTGGCATCGATATTAATGTAGAGAAGCAAGCACATACCTTTTTTGATTTTGCAATCATGAGAATGTGCATGCATACTACTACATATACATACATACATACATACATACATACATCAATCACCACGGGGTAATTATCTAGATTCTAGACAGACATTCTAGGCTTAATTATCTAGTTTGTGCTACAGCCATAGCTTAGTCCCGAACGCTTTGTTTTTTCATCTTATTTGGCGTCGATATTAATGTAGAGAAGCAAGCACATGCCTTTTTTGATTTTGCAATCATGAGAATGTGCATGCATACTACTACATATATATATACATACATACATATATATACATATATATATATATATATATTTAGTGTAAAGAAAATAAGTTAGCACGAATCTTGAGACAAACCGATGACTCGAGAAAAGGGCCGATCGATCGTGCAACTTGTCAACCTCAATTTCTAACAATCGATGAAGCAGACATTGACAAAAGAAATATGGTATGAACGACTAGAAAGGCATATCAAAAGGATTCTGATTCCTAGAACGACGGTTGGGTCTCTTCAAACTGGTCGTCAGATGATTCAACATTGAATCGAGCATCAACAACGTAAAAATATGACATGCGATTGACAATCTTATCATAGTTTATTATACTCAAAATATTCTTGTCATTACTGAAAGACTCCCTTAAAAGCCTAATGATGAGGGGGCAAAACTATAATTTTGCAAGATTAGACATTTCTATAAATAGAGGGTAGAAATCATGAATAGAGTTTCTTTATTGTTCTTTACCATACTCTCTTTTTAGTGCAACATTTTGTACGTTTGATGTGTTTATTAAACACTTTTGGATCAATATCCTTTAAAGTGCGTTGAGGGTGGAAACATGCCATCAACAAGAAGTGAAGCTTAGCAACAATAGCAAGAAGAATCCAGTCAGAGTAATATGGTAGAAACAGCATGCACTAAGGAATTCATGGAAGATTTTGTTTACCAAGTCTTGCAAGATCCGAGGACTCAAATCATTAACCAAATGTTAGGAAAATTCCTAGAAGTACTTAGAGCGGTAGCTACCCTAGAGGTGGTCCCTGTTCTAGTGGGAGGATCGACCCAACAACAATCACCCAACCCCCCTCAAGGGGAACACAAGCAAACAACGAATGAAGAATAATCCACCCGCAAGAGAAGTCCGATGTTCGGTTATACCAAGGTAGCGCCATATCTGCCCTTGTGGAAAAGAGGAATCGACAAGTGCGAACTGAGGCACTGCAACAGCCGAAAAATGCCTTCTCACTACAAGTCTATAGGGTTAAACCCCAAGAGAAGTTTAAAATGTTTGTGCTAGAGCCATAAAAAGAACTATGGGATCCCGATGACCATGTCGTCATGTCATTTGAATCTTCCATATACATGCTAAAACTCTCTGACAACCTAAAGTGTTTACAATGTTGAGGCCGTCTGCAATAAGATTGTTTGACGGGTTACTCGCAGGGGTGATGTCTTATTTTGCAAAATTTAGGAGGCTCTTTCTATCTCAATTTTTTAGCACTTTGAGACCCAAAAAGAGAACTTGATCCTAATGGCAACTAAAATAAGGAGCTGATGAGATCGTGCAATCATTTATTGCACAGTTACAGAGGGATTTGAAAGACTTGAAGCCCGACATGGCCTAGGCCATGCTAACATAGGGGATAAGGTTAGAGAGATATCACTTTAACCTTGACCTCGCGGAGTTACAAAGTTTGGACGAGTTGTTAAAGAAGGCTAATAAGTACATAGCTACCTATGAGAACATCCTCGAACCCAACGAACAAAAACACCAAAAGAAGCAGTCGCAGAACAACACAAGGAAACTAAGACAGAATGAATGACTTGTCATCCGCCCACTACAACAACTCCACCGATCATCACGAGTACCATACGAGATACAAAAAGGCTTAGCACCACTAATAGTCCCATTATCATGAGCAACCTTGGTACAACCATGGCGTCCCTTAGGCAACCCCACTGAGGGTATCCATGGAAAAAATAGTGGATGGCATTCAGGACAAGGAATTCTTCAGGAATGCACCATCAATGGGAACTGAAAACTTTCTTTGTGATACTAGTAAATACTGCAAGTATCACAGGGACCACAAACATGACATGAAGGAATGCTAGCACCTTCAGATCCTGATTGAAGAGTTGATAAATGAGGGAAGTTCAAAAAATTCATTGCCCTTGGATTCACGACCCAAAGGCAAGGCAAAACTCTTGTGGGGGGACCAACTGACAAACTTATTCAGCCAAATGCCATCTAAATCCCATGATACGTTCCTGCCATCTTTGGAGGGAGTGAACTACTTAGGAGGACAAGCCATAAGAGGTAAAAAATATGGAAACTTTCCACGATGGCCTAAAAAATGATGTGCTACTTAAGAGTTTGCCAGCCATGCAAAAAATATGGAAACTTTCCACGATGACCTTCGCTCAAACTATAAGGGCCACCCACCTATCTATTTCACTGATGAGGATCTACTGATAAAAGGAAATCCCTATAATGTTGGTATTGTGATAACAACTATAATTAATAATTATTAAGTAAGAATTTTTCACATCGATATAGGGCCAGATCTCTATATGGCTTTCCAGACGTAAGGAAGGAGGCGCTAGGAGTGATTGAGCTCCAAGTAAGTTAGGAAGAAAATGAGAATTTGTTTACGCTAATAAAGGATTTCCTCATGGTGGATCCCCTCCCTTGAAACTATGATGTTATATTCAGTCAACTTCTCTTGAATGATTTCAAGGCTTTGGTCTCCACTTACCATGTCACTATAAAATTTTTTGGAGACGAGAAAATCATCACAGTTAGTGGTGACTTGGTACAATCCCATGTTTGCTACCTACTAGCCATAAACAATGTGTAGCACAATACCCTCGACATTCAAAATTCAAGAGGAGGCAGCCTCAAGACAAATGAGGCTACCCTTAAGGTCCCAGCTATCGAGGAAGTGCCAGGTAATTTTTTCCTAATTAATGAAGCTTTTGACGTATGATAGAGGAACCTACTGATCCAGACCCTCCAAGAGAATCGTGATTTCTTTACATGGATGGTCTCCAAAATGCCAAATGTTTCGATCGATGTAGCTTGCAATAGAATGATGTTAATCCGTCAGCTTTGCCTGTGAAGTAGAAGATGAGAAGCAAGCCATGCACTGGCTAGATCCATTCGAGAGGAGGTACGAGTGTTGGATGAAGCTGGATACATTCAAGAAACATGGCGATGATGCAAAGGGCTAATGCGAAATGGATGATGTGCGTGAACATCACAAACCTAAATTTCGCCTGCCTGAAGGACACATACTTGATTACAAGAATTGGCGCTCTGGCTGATTTGGTGGCCAGCCATTCAGTCCCAAGTTTCTCTTTGCATTCCTGGGTATCAACGTATCAAAATGCACCCTGCATATGCCAATAAACTTCTTTTATTTTTCTTGTGAGGGATTCTTTTGTTAGAAT